TCATCCATTGTTGGGATAGGGAACTTATCGGGGACAGTAATGGCATTAAGGGCACGATAGTCCACACAAAAGCGCCATGTGTCATCCTTTTTGCGAACCAAGAGAACTGGGGAACTATATGGGGAGTGGTTAGGTTGAATAATACCAAATTCCAACATTTCACCCACAATCTTTTCAATCTCAGCCTTCTGGAAGTGGGGGTACCGGTAAGGTCTCACCTGTATGGGTTTGGAGGACGAAATCAGGTTAATAGCGTGGTTGGTGTATCTATCAGGGGGTAAGGAGGTGGGTTCATGGAATACATCCTGGAATTGGTGAAGAAGGGCTTGGATGGGCGGTGGTAATGGGATCGGGGATGCAGGTGTTGTGGGTTGGTAGCTAATGTTACTAGTGAGACACATAAAATAGGAGGAAACTGAATCCTGGGCCACTAGTTTCTGTAATTGGGCTAGAGATAGGGGCTGGGAGCAATAGTAAGATCCCCTTGGAGAACGATAGGTGAGCCCTCATAGGTGAAAGACATTGTCATCAGCAAATAATCAATGAGGATAGGTCCTAAAGTAGACAGCCATTGGATCCCTAATACGATATTAGCACCCTTGAGTTCCATAACAAACAAGGAAGTGGAAACCACCTGAGATTGGAGAGTAAGTGTGACATTAGGACAGTAAGCAACATACTGCAAGGAGTCACCGTTTCCAACCTGTACCTGGAAGAAAGTAACTAATTGCAAAGTTAGATTGAGAAACGTGGCCATACGTTCGGTGATGAAATTGTGGGTACTACCCCCATCAATCAAAACCTGCAATAATTTGCCCTTGATTGTGCCGGAAAGACGGAAAAAGCGTGAACTTCTATTACCAAAGAGAGCATTGAAACTGATTTCCGGGGAAGGCTCGTCAGGAACTATAGCCTCAGTCAGCTCTGGTAGGTCAGTGTCAATAGTGTCGTCAGTACCCTCCATATATAACAGGGCAGCACGACCTTTGCACTTATGGCCGAAGGAATACTTTTCGTCACATGTATAACATAAATTTTTTTCACGTTTCACTTGCATTTCTGTCAGGGATAAACGTCGAATTGGTAAAGCAGAAATTGGACTGGTATTTGGGGTGGGAGTTTGGGTTGTAGGAGAAATGGAAGTATTAGGGTGAGGTTTAGGGAATGTAGTCCAAGGACGGGTGGGTCTTTGATCAGCAGCGTGGTCTTCATAAATGCGGGCCAGGGAATAAGCCGCGTGATATTAATGTGGCCGTTATGTGAGAATAGGCCGACGAATATGGGGTTTCAACCCCGATATGAATATGCTGCGTAAAAGGGTGGCTGAAAGACCTGGTACCTTGCTGACGAGCTTCTCAAAAGCTGATTGATAGTCTACAACGGATCCAAACTGCTGTAATTTAACTAACGCACCTACAGGGTCCTCAAATTCGGAGGGACCAAAACGGCAGTGCAAGGCGATGCAAAACGGCCTCCATTCAGTGAGTAAATCGTTCTGTTCAAAACCGTAGAACCAGCTATTGGCGGGATCTATTAAGTGGAATGCAGCCAAATTAACACGATCTGGTAAAGGTACTTGATAGAAGGTAAAATACCGTTCAGCAGCGATGATCCATGTAGTTGGATCATCGGATGAAAATCTGGGGAAATCAAGCTTGATTTGGCGAGATCGAGGTGGGCCACCCAGGAGCAGAGCCACCGGAGGGACCAGAACCTAATAAACCACGATTATCAGGAGAAGACTGCTGTAAATCGAGCAAGCGTTGCTGATCTTGATGAATCCGATCTTGGGAAGCCTGCATTTGTTGTTGGGATTCCAATAAATTGAAATGGGATTCATGTAGAGTCAAATATTGTAGTTCCCTGACAAGATCGACAGATCGAAATTGCTGCTCTAGAGTGTCTAGTTGTTGCTGTAAGTCACGCGAATGAGTATTTTCCGCCATTAAAGGGAAGGTTGAGGATCAATGAAAGCACCAGCTGTAGGGATCATTAATTCAGAAGAGAGATGAGTTATGAGAAGAAGAGAAGAGTTTTAGAGAAAGGAAGAGAGATATTTCCAACAATTTTCTATATTTTCCATTCCACCCGTCTTGGGCTATATAGTGCATTGATTACATATATGTTCCCATTTACTCATAACAAATAGCAACAGAAATTATAAAGGACATTTATTATTAAAAAGGCCTTCACTACTCATTGTGAGTAGTCCAGTAAATATGTGGGCTTTCTAATAACACGTCTGGGCCTCAGGGTATCGCTTTGGGCTGCAACACGAGCCTACATCCATTCTCTCAAGCCAAAAATAGTCTGGAGTTTCCATTCTCTCAACCCAAAATACTCGGATATTACACAAGTAAAATTTTTTTAGAAAAAATAATAGAGGATGAAAGAGAACGAGCTAATTGGCTAACATATATTAAATTAAGGAAAAAGTGTTTGTCATTTTAAATGACATAAATTTATGTCATTTTAAGAGAGAGATAGACACAGAATAAATTTTTTTATTTAAATTTTAAATTAAAAAAAAACCACCTACTTTCTCTCTCCCCATGATTTTCATTTTCGGTGTCTGTCTCTCTCCTAAAATGACATAACTTATGTCATTGAAAATGACAAACACCAAGCCCATTAAATTAAAGGGGCAACTAGGAACATAAAAAAAAAATAGAGGTTAATGGCATATAAGGATATAGATGAGCTTGTCCAACACCATAAACAACTGCCTTGGTGCCATTAGCAAAAGTAATAGAGGGTAAATTATCAGAATAGTTAAGAGATATCCTTATCACCATAGAGGTGATCAATAGCATCAGAGTCAATTATCCAGGGCCCAAGAGATATTTGAGAAAAACAAGCAATATGATTCCTAGTTTTTGGAGCATGAGGTTGGGAAACAACCTTGAGTTGGTGGAGAGCCTCATAATCTGCACTTAAGATAGTCACAGATCCAACAGAGTGTGATGTAGTGTCAGTTTGAGCTAAGTTGGCAATAAATGACCTTATATAAGGGTGATTCTTATAGCAATGCTATTCCATATTGCTTAAGTTATGACAATAATTTCAACGAGACCTTTATCCACGGCCATGATCACATCCAATATTCTCGTTATAATCATTAGTATGAGAGATAAGAATAGTGGAATTTGACATGAGCATTGTTGAAAAAGTGGAGACAGATTTTGGCACATCTGTGATGTTCAGTAAATGCTAGAATGTCTAAGACAAAGCAGGAGTTCTAGACTGGTTAACATCTACTAGCGATTGACATCTAACTCATGTCGAAGATAAGAAAGAGGCATAACCATAAAGAAGCATTCATGTTGCTTCTTGTGCTCAAATAGATCCTTAATAGGGTGTAGCATAGTAGATAACTCATGCATCAAAGAATAACTTCACCAAAATAAGTTTCCATTCGAGTGGTTAATGACTTGCGCAATTCCATCATACGGGAAATAATCGAGTAGAATTGTTGGACATCATTCATATAACAATTTTGGTTTCCTCCTATACTTTATAGCATGTCTCAAAGGGAATAAAAAACTCAATGGCTACTAGATTAATGGATTGCCAAAAGATATAAAAGAGCTGGGCATCAACATTAATACAACCTGATACAAGCCCATCAAATGAGCTAAGCCCAACAACTCCAAAGCCCACGATGGATACACTGCATGCATGGCCAACTAACCACAACAGATTACCAGAAATCTGTTAACTGCATTAGTTTGTTATCTAAGTAGTTAGATAATTTGTTATCCCTTTTTTACTCGTTGATGGTAGAGTATATATACGGTTCTTGTAAGTATTGTAATCAGTTTTTCAATTAATCAATCAAGAGGTAATACAGTTTTCAATGACTTCTCTGTTTTTTGTTAAACATTCTTCCATTCCGAGTGTCGGTCCTTCAGAATATCATCAAGTTTTGTCATGAGATGGTTCAAGTATCCTTGACCTATAAACCAAATATTAACAGATGTGTTTTGACCACCGTAGAAAGGAGCGGCACATGTGAGAACGTTCGGTGACTTTTGGTCTTTAGAGTTGGACGGTTATGTGGGCAGGCCTGAGTCCGTCATGATGAAGTGGTCATCTATCAGAATGGACACTAGAAAATTTTCTAGTGGCAACAATAGTCAGAAGGTGGGGATCAGCCGAGAACAATGGCTAAAAGGATGCTTGGACGATAAGAGGCTATCAGAATGACCCACAACAAGGAAGAAATGTTATAAGTATGACATCGGACAATGGATGACGACAATTGCTGTGTAGTGGGTACAATTTGTAAAAACAAAGTTCCCTAGAACGTAAGCTCTGGTATTAATTTGAAATTAGAAATTGTGTCAGTTGTGATTAATAGGGATTATATTTATAATAATAAGATACATGGGCTTAGGCCCTATTTACATGATGTGAGACAATACACTAAAACAATAACCTATACATACATGCTATCACTTTTCACTTGGTTGCCTCATTATCTACATACTTAAGTATTCAAATTTGACATCATCAATGATATTAACAAAATACCTTACTTAGAGTTTAACTTAACATTATGGAAGATAATATCATTTTACATTTTGTCCAATTCAAATTCATTCAATAATCTTTTTAATTTTTATTTATTTATTATCATGACATATTAATTCTATTAGCACAACGGAGAGATTTTTTCTTTATCTATTATTATTATTATGCAATTTTTTTGTTCTCAATCAGTTCTTGCTTCTACCTCAATTCATAGACTACCAGTTCCAACTAATTAATTGTTTGGTGTATAATTCCAACTAACATAGTGTATATAAAAGGTAATTTTGATGTTGATGAGTCACATGCTCTGTTCCAGTGTCCAAAGCCGATTTGCTGGCTGAAAAACATCATCATCTTCCACACACTTAAAGAGGGAAATACGCTAGCTGACTGGATAGCTTCTGCTGCCCACCAATTTTATGATTGGAATTCTACTCATATTTTTGTTGATCCTCCAATAGGATGTCGTCCTCTTTTAGCTAGAGACTCTATGGGCATTACTAGCCCTCGTCTTTGTAACCTGTAATTTGTATTTTCACTCTGTTTCCAAAAAAAAAAAGAAATATGAACATCAAAATATTACTTACCATGTGAAAAAATGAATTTGAACATTACATCTTGATCTGTGTGGCATCTGCTAACATACCCTAACAGCGTGAAGACTACAGGTGTCTAGTGCATATTACAACTCGATAGCCTATGGAAAAAATGTGCTTCCATATTACTGCTCCTAGTTAACAATGTATGTACATGAACCAGAATCTTGTCTGAACTAGGAATCAATGAGAGAATGAACCCGCGTCAGTATTATACATCGAGTCATCACTTATGCTAAAGTTTGGTCTCTCTTCGTTCCACTTTAAAATCTCTTTTGAATAATTAAGTGCTGCATCAACACTACCAGGTTCCAGACCCTTCACCAAGGACACATACAAGTTTCGCCCTGTAAGAGAGGAATAGAGCCTCTTGAACTTAACTGCTATGTAATGGGAAGCCAGATGACCAAAAGAGGGGTTATTATTAATGCTGTTGCTGCCAATGCCATGACGGCTAATTACTGGATGAAAATCAGAGAACCACTCACACTGAGTCAGTGGAATTTGTTCTGTTTTCTCCTCAAACTCATCTAGTTTGTTTAATATCAACAGGAAGTCCATTTGCTCAAAAGTTGGATGAGTAACTATAGTTTCAAAAAATCTCCTGCTCAATATCATCTTGTTTGTGAGACAACCATTTCCGTCAACAGAAAACTGATCATAGTCGCTCAAGGCAACACAGAAGATGACCATTCCAACATCCTCAAACATTTCTAGCCACTTGCAATTTTCTCCTAGCCTTTTTGCATGTATTGTAATTAGTTGATACCTGCATCGCAGCCAAGGAGAACAAAAAGCACCGTACAGATCAGAAACATTTCATAGCGGTTCTGCTAATGGGTTTTTTCTCCAAAAAAATTAACAAAACATAATGTATTTAAACGCAGCCATGTGAGGCCTGTTTCTACGTACATAAATTTCCTCATTTCACCCAAACTCATATATGAAAATCAGCACCATCGTCACATTTCCAGTGCATGCACTATATGACTGCTAAATCACATTCATGCCAGCGGAAGGAACCTCCACTATGTTTGCTAAACATCATAACAGCAGCCAAGAACAGAGAAAATCTGAGCTTAAATGAGAATTGAGTCTGCCCTAAGGACTTGACTCATTTTCTCCTTGTTAAATTTATAGGCTTTGGCTGCATAACAAGCTAAAATTCTTTTGCAGTGCTCTGTCTTTGCTGTTCTTGGTGTCTTTGGACGGAAAGGAATGCTAGAATTTCAAGGGCACTTTGTCGTCTCTAGACAACATTTGGGATAGGCTTATTTTCTTGGCATGTCTGTTGTGTTCTGCTCATGGACTGTTTAGAGGTGTTTCTTTATTGGACATGCAGAGAGATAGGCATGCCTTGTTACATGACTCAATGTCTTGGCTTCTAGGTGTTTCTTTTGTTGATTCTCGTGAGGATGTCTTTTCCTCTATCTTTGTACTTTTCTTTCCTTCCTCAATGAAATTTCTTTATTACACCCACTCCCCCCCACAAAATAAAAAAATAAAAAAAATCATTACATCTGGTGGAAATAGACAGTCCCTACAGTAGATAGCATACTTATTTCCCATTTTGATTTTGTCGGTGTTTTCAGGTTGTGGTGTACTCATTACAACCCCTGCCATTTTCAGGAAAATTATTATTTCCCAAGAGCAAATAATTATGCAGTAATTGGGTCAATCATGCTACCCAGAACAATTCTGACATATAAGAATAGGCGCAAATATTTTCACCTACCTAACCAAAGAATCATGTAGATCAGCAGTGTTGATAGTTTCCTCAGGAGCTGATTGAGGAAATGAAAACTCTACACAAGCTAGCCCATTGGATGAAGTAACTCCTTCAGCATAGAGGATATCTAAATCCGAGGGCTCATAATCAGTCGTTAATATATCAATAGCCTAAACAAAGAATTGACATGTTAGATTATCAAAGCCACTAACCTAGCAATCTTTCTCAAGAGGAAACAAATAGAAGGAAAGACATAAGAATTTAGTATGCAACATGGTACAAATATCTGCAATAATAATCCAGACGAAGCATTCCAATGCTTAACAGACGGATATAAAGCAGTTTGAGTTTTGCTTGTTAACGAAACCTAAAAACTCAATGTAACTCTGGCCAAATAAATGAGCCGAGAAAGCAAAAACCATATGCTAAGCTCATTTAGACTCAACATTATTACTCTTCAAGCTAAATGCATCTACTAAATGTCTATAGCACAACTTCACTCCCTTTGCCTGATGAAAGATCCTTTTATAAAGTATGACTCTATGAACCAGCAGCAGCACCTATCCTCACAAGCATTAACCTAAGCACCTTGTTAAAATTAATCCCTCCATCAGTTTGTTCATTTAGCAGAAGACCCTAATTGCTTGAAGCTAAATTCCTTTGATAGAATAAAAGGCATTTCCATTACCATAATTAACACAGGTATTTATATGGAACTTCAAAATAATCATAATAAAATGTGTGGTTATTATTCCGAGAAGAGTGGTTGTTCTGTTAAGATTTCTGTTACCCAGATTTTTTAAGAAAATGACCACACATCAGAAGATCCTAAGCACAAATTCACCAGCCTGAAGTTCATACAACTTGACTAAATTAGTTGTTTACTAGCATACTGTACTTCATACATATCATCAATAAAAATTTATTTATGCTGCTTAATGGAGGATCCCTTATCATTGGTAGTCACAAAATTCACCATATATACCTTAATTCTTCTACCACCTCCCCACCAAAATATATATATATATATACCCTGCTCTTAACATTTTCTTCTATATGCAAGTAAATAACAAATAAATATGTCAATGTTATATGCACTATAGTTGAGAAGAGTACGTGAACAGATCACACTGTTAATATAAATAAACTCAACAATACATTGATCCTATACCCGCTCTAAGAAATAACTGGCAACCGTGGGTAGCATTTCTATTTCATTTCTTCTTTCATATGTGGCCTTAATGGCTGCATCATTCCACAGTTCCTCTATCAATGGTGTGTATTCACGGGTAGCTGCTGGAAAGATAGCATCAAGCTTGCCTGAAACCATAGTTTTCAGCAGCCAATCAGAGAATGCTTTCAGTCTTGTGCCAATGGAGTAAATCGTCTTGTCGCCAAGTTTTGGACTAGCTCCTGTGCCATAATCATACCAGCCAATCTTTTAGCACAAATGGACAATATATGAAAATCCTATACAGGAATTTCTAGTCATCTATTATTTAAGTGACTATCAGTTAGTTGCATATCAATATAATTTTTCCTTTTGGTTGAATGCATATCAACATATTCAAAACCTACAAAAACGAACACTTTCGGCTATATGAACAAACTCGACAAGTTTATTATTCATAACTTTAAAGTCCCTATAATAAATATATCTAACTTCAATACCAACTAAAACTATCAAATTTAAATAAATAAAGCTAAATAATGATGATTAAAACATAAATGCACAGAATGTGCAATCAAGCTGATGTAAAACACACACGCGCACACACACAAGAGAATAACATCTATCTCATAGTTCTACTATTCTATCTACTCAACAACAACAGCAAAAGCTTTCTCCCTCTAGGTGGATGGTCCAGAAAATTGAGACATAAACATGTGTTTCATATCTTAAAGAGAAGATAACTTTACAGTAATTTTCCTTCGGATATAATAATTTCCATGAACAAATTCCCCACAAGTGTTGAGCATGCGTATATATGACCATTTTTTTGAAAGCTCACTCCATAGTGGTCACTTGGAAGAAACAAGGTAAGATTCAATTAATTTTTTTTATTTTTTTATTTTTTTATTTTAAAGATTCAATTATTTTATATTCAAAGCAATAAGAATGAGTTGGGTTTACAGTTTACTGTGTTTCTTCATTTTGAGGGGAAGGGGATAAAAAACAATGAAGTATGAAACCTAGTGACCCCTTAAACACACGGATAAGCTTGCTGAAAACCATTTGGACGAACAACTAGTCAAGTGTCAACTAGATGGTGCACAGTTGATGCATACTCAGCCACATATGGGTTGCTTTAAAAGGAAGAAAGCTTGGCTACTGAGTCCAAATTCAATCAAAATTAGCAAAGTTCAGTGGGAGAAGGGGATAAAAGGGAGAAAATTGAACTCATACCTGTGCTGTCAAGAACAGAAAATTGAGTTTTCTTTAAATTCCCCAGACTTTCTTCTTCAAAACGCTCACGACCCTCAAGGAGTATGCCAAGATAGGCATAGACATTGGTCTGAATGGTAAATTTTATATTCTCACGTTCTTCTTTTGAGAAGGGGGTGCTTTTGTAAAGAATCTTGGCCTGACATAAGCATTTACAATTCTATAAATACATTGATTTCTTACCTTTTAGCAACAACAACAAAGGATTGACAATATCATAGCATCCACAATATATTATGACTGACTAATTTTATATTCATGTTTAGACTTCAGACTACTCCCAGGAGCTTTTCCCATGTTAGTTTTCTAAGTGACTTAAGAAATGATAATTTTGATGAAGACATGCTTATGGCCATAATTTGTCCTATGTAATCTTCCTGACCAAAAGAAAGTTCTAAGCATGACGCAATAAGCAGGCTCAATTATCAAATGAAAAATCACCTGCTTAAAAATGGTGCTTGTTCCTGAACCACTGTAACCAATTAAGAGGAGCTTCCGAACTATTCCATGCTCGAGGTAGTCAGGAACCGTTCTGGTAACCACATTGGAGGATAGAAACCCGCAAGAATTTGAAGATTTAGAAGGAACTGGCAAGGACAGGAAGGCACATACAAGCTTCGTTCCAGTCTAACAAGTGACGTAAAAGAGTGTGTAATAATGCAAATGAACATTGGCGCAAAATAATATAAGAGACAATAAGCTAAAAAAATGTTACCTTTCCCCATATACACCCTCTTGTATTTTTCTGTCCCTCTTCTTGGTATGAACCATCCTCATTAACCCAAAAATGTGGGTTACCAGCACACTGAACTCCTGCCAACTGCCCAACCAAAACAAGAACCATTCAACAAATTTTTTATTTAATTTTTAACAACAACAAACAAAATTTATTTACTAAGATAGACCCTTTCAACTTTTATTTTATTTTTCTATACACAAGAATTTTCAACCTGCAACATCCGAAGCTCTACTTTTGTTATCTCCCGGCCATTAATGAAAACCTGCGTGTTTCCATTGCTAGCATCCGGTTTGATGGGACCTCCAACATTCATATGGGCACTAATAATTCTACAAGGCTTCTCTCCTTCCTGTAAAATTAACAACAAAAAAATCAGCACCCCTTTTACTTTCAAATGCATGGAGAAAATTATTCATATTTAAAACAAACAAACAAATAAATAAACAACATACCTTCCCCCAAAAACCAGATACTTTATCATACCAATAGTTTCCTGGCTTTAGCTTCTTCGGAGGGTTAGAACAGTTCTGCAAGGTAACAAGTTCCTCAAAAGAAAGAGGCTTTCCATTCACACAAACACATTCAGGTGGAAGCTGATTCACTTCACAAAACCTCTCAGCCTTCATTATCTGTCGAACCTCCAAGTGATTAAGCAACCTCTTTAGCATCCGAGAGCATTTCCCCAACCTCCCCCTTTTAGATTCGTCAATTGGGTAACCAATGCAACTAACACATTTACGACCTTCAGGCATTGAACCCATAGCTCTCAGCACACAATTCCCACAATACTTGGCACCACAAACAAAACAAACCTCCTTCTCCGTTAACCTATTCCCCTTTAAGCAACGGTAGCACGAAAATTTCTTACCCTCTCTCTTAACCGGTCCGGTTCCTGTCTCCTCCGGTTCGCATTCTTCATCGTCTGAACCTCCCACACCGAAAGTCAAAACGTGTTCTTGTTTAACATCATATTCAGGTTCGTTGTTCTTTAAAGAAGAAACCTGCGACGATGGATAATCTGAACTCAACGTTGAAGCCCAATCTCGTTGGCTCAAATCGTTGAAATCCAAACTCTCTTTCTCACCGTTCGAATTCCTTAACAACAACGCACTCGAGCTACTCAACTCGCTCGATAACTCGCAACCACCGTTGCTCTCTGCGGCTCCGTCTTCAAAGGCCGTCACAGACGCCGGAGACACCGTTGTTCTCCCGGAACCGGCACCGCCGTCGTTGCTCCGGTCAAAGGCAATCACCGAAGTGGGAGAAACCGCGGTCCCGGAGGCAAGCGTTTTGAGCTCAGGCGACGAGAGCGGTTGCACAACCGGCAAAGACAGAGCGTCGGAGAAAGGCACCTGCGCAACCACCGTGGCCACCGGAATCCCGTCTACGCTTACCGGCACCGCCCGGGGAAGATCGTAGGCAGGCGGCGGTCCGTTGTATTCCACGGCTAACGAGTACTGGACCCCGTCGTCGACGTCGTCGGCGGGCACCGTGGTTGTCATCGCCGGCGACATTGTTGCCCTGATTCGGTGATTCCCAAGCCGAGCCAAAATTGAAGAATAAAACCATTAAAAGGCGACAGGCTCAAGCTTCGTACCAAAATTCAAAAAATTGAATTTTCAAAATAAAGAAAAAGATTACTACATTTACTTACTTTTTTTTATTTTCTCTAAAAGATGCCTAATAGGCTAAAAGGGTACACTTAATTTGAACCTACAAAGAAAGGTGAAGGTGTGTCATATTATTTTCTCGAGAACGTAGCTTCAGAGGAATGTTCAAATTTCAAACCAGCGAAAATGAGAAAAAAAAAAAAAAAAGGAAAAAAAAAAGGGGGGATTAGCGATGAAAACGAGAGAGAGAAATCGCGGAGAATCCATTATCGAGGAGAGCAGTGTGTGTGTACTGTGTAGTGTGTAGTGTGGAAAAAAACACGAAAAAGTGTAAGTAAGGGGATGGAATCTTTTTCTATCTTTCTTTTTTGTTTCATGTTTTTTTGTTTCTGTGTGTCGGCTGCGAAGACTGTGTCGTTTTGCAGAGCATAGTATAGTTGTTGTTGGTATCCAAGTTTTGGCATTAGGTTGCAATGGATAAGGACCACCACCATTTTTACTCAAGAATGAAGGAGCTGATGCGAAAGTACACTGGTAGAATACGATCCCACGGGCTTGGCGTGAAGTTTTAACTCATGTTTTGCGTGGCAAACAGGGTAACAGAACCTTTTCCCGCTAATTTTGCTCACACAAAATATTTACTATTTATAGACCCCAAAAAAAAAAAATATGAAAAAATTACTCTTTTCTTTCTCTACAAGACTACATCCAATCAAATTAACTGAACAAAAACTCAGACAGATTCTCGGGGTAAAAAGGGGCCTTTTGTCCATTATAATTCAAGTTTTTTTTTTTTTAAAAAAAATTCTAAATAAAAAGAATTATCAAATTAATGCAGTAAATTGCATATGGAAAGGATGTGCATTTAGTCATTTTTGCTACACTATAACTGTGATTAATGCTTATTAAAGAGAGCTGGATAATTTGCTATGTTGACCAATTGTGCATGAGGTGGTCAGGTGGATACATGTTTAATAAGCGTAGCCAATTAAGATTATGCAACTTGACAACAACTGAATAGATCAAGGCAAAAAAATTTATTTATTGCAATTTAATTAAATAATTACACAAATATGACAGTTTGGGGAGTATTTACAGATATATTGCACACTGTGACACTCCTTTTGGGCGTCACATGTGACGCTCCAGTGAGGCATCTCTCATGATGGAGAAAACGCCCCAATGGAGCGTCACATGTGATGCCCAAAAGGGGCGTCTCATGTGCAATGCTATAAATACCCCATTTTTTCTATTTCACTCCTCGCTCATTCACCTCTCTCTAACCTCTCTCTAACCACGGTTCGTAACGAAGCTCTACCGACTTAGGTAAGGTCGTAATACCTCCTATGTATACGTTTAAATTACAGTGCTAGTTAGTAATACATGTTAAGATTGATCGTATATTAGAGACTTAGAACATTAGGATAGTTACTTAAAAATTTTGTGCCATGCTATGAATGTTGTAATGATACTCCCCTTTTTTTGTTACGTAGTTATTATTATTAATAGGCTAAATTACCTAAAACCACCTTGTATTTAGGTGGTGTTTCAAAAAACTACCCTAAACTTTAGATTGATGCAATTAACCCACCTATACTATCTCATTCCAACAATTAAACATATCTGTTAAATTTACATTAAACGTCGTTAAGTAAATATTAAACACCTTTGAGTAATCCGTGCATCTGAGTAATTATTCCAAGGTTTTTCAAATTCCTTTTCGCCATTAATCTATTCTCTTCTCCAACACCAACCTTTTAAGATTTTCACATTAGACCCTTCTTTATAGACCGAGGAAGCAAAAAAATAAACCTTAACCCCAACTCCTTCTCACCTCCACTGTTCAGCCTATTATTTGTTCCTCTCTTCAGACTCTATGCTTTCTCCTATGAAAAAGTTATTTAGGCAATTGTGATGGTAAAAGACCTCTATGGAAAAACTATTCAGTTGGCGAAAAAGCTATTCATTTGGTGTTTGAATTGATGAGTTCCATGGAGGGGGAAAAGGTTTGTTTGTGTTGATGGATTTGAATTCTAACTTGATGAGTTTCAATGGGTTGTGTAAAGTCGGAAACTGTCTAACACTCACCCTTTTGATGCTCGGTACCTGTTCGATAAAATTATTTACTGAACCTGGTTCCCAATAAGGTTGCTTATAATATGCTGGTTGAGGGGTTCTAAGGTGGTTGACATAGAGGAAGCTTTTAACTTGAAGGACGATAAAGAAAAAGATTGAACTTAGGCTGCAACACAAGATTTAGTTTGGTTGTTAAGCGCAAACTATGGGTGCAATTTCTGGTTGTTGATAACAAGAGTTGTGTAGTTCGAGACATATTTGGTTTTTATTTTACACTTCTAGACTGTTGTGTAGTTTGATAAATTGAAAACTTGTATGGGTCTTGACAAGGCCATGCTGCTTCAATGTAATGTATGATTTTGGAAGATTTGAACGAGTTTCGTGAATTGATTGAAATGTATGTTGAACAGGTTGAAATAAATGTATGACTTTGAATTAATCCACTCATTTAGTTGTGGAATCTAATATAATGTCATTGATTTTGCAATCTGATATTATTATTGCTGAACAATGGAATTAAAAGTTAAACATGTATTACTATAGTTGAATCAAAGTATTCAAATGTTCCTGATTTGATTTGGACCTCTTGCATGCAGGTATTCATTTGAGTTTGCCATAACTCTTGATTTTTTTCATATATTTTAATGTGGTTTTAGGATGAATAACTATAGACATGGAAACAGAACATCAATTTTAAGATTTTTTTACTCTCGAGTCAAACACAGGAACCAAGAAATACGACGCATGGGAAGAAGACGCTGAATAATGGTGGTGAGAAAATTAGAGTTGTGTTTACCTACTGGGTCTAAAAAAAGGGTCCAATCTTTGTAAAAAGAGGGTATATCAAATACTTCGAGTTGAAGAAGAGAAGGGATTTGAGAAATCTTTCAAAACTCACCTTATTAAACCAACCAGATGCGGGGATTACTTAACAGTGTTTGATATAGAGTTAACGGATATGTTTAATTGGTGGATTCACATAGTACATAGGTTAATTGTTTCAATCCAAATAAAATGGTGGTTTTTTGAAACATCACTAAAGTACAAGGTGGTAATTTGCAATTTAGCCTTATTAATATTTAATTATGCATTAGGGTTTAGCGTATTAATTAGTGATTTAGAAAATAGTGATAGCGAGATCGTAAATTTTGTATGTATGATGTTATTCATGCGGGAGTTTATTCATAATTTTGTACATATTTATGAAGTTATTAGTGACCTAGGGTTAAGTATTCTGTAAGTATTACATTATTTTTGTCCAATGTTTTTTTATTATTTAATTACAAATAAATGACTGTACTACGTATTAACATTATTTCATTAATTTCAATTCTAGTAAAATAAATGACGCATATGCTTAAATTTTTTGATAATAAATTATGGCATTACATGTGATTAATTTAAATGTTGTTTTATATGATATAGTTGAGGGTAATGGCTGATTCATCATCTTCATCGGGTTCTGCATCGGATGTAGAGCCTACCGATCCCAGCATGTACATCATACATGGGCCGTACATATGGGACGTCCTTCATAAGAGGACGCAGCGTGCTCATATTTCACAACGAGTGTGGAATACGGAGCATGTCAGGAAAATAAAGACCAGGCGTGGGAACCCAACGAGGGGCCACCTACCGGCGCTATCCCAGAGGTGGTCGCAGACGACCTGACACAGGCAGGATTTATACATGTTGCCCGGATGCGACATATCCAAGTATGCAATTTAACTTGTTTTGTATTTATGTAATTATTCAATATCATTCGCTAAAACGCTGTAATTACGTAATTTATCACAGATCGATGCCTTTTTAATTAATGCTCTGGTCGAGAGGTGGAGACCAGAGACACATACTTTCCACATGACCCAAGGTGAGATGACTATCACCTTGCAAGATGTGGCAGGCATATTGGGCTTGCCTACTGACGGGGATGTCGTCACCGGCTCTACCTCTGAGGATTGGCTCGCTGTTTGTGGGGCTGTATTTGGCGCGGTTCCACAGCCAAATGAGTTCCATCATTCAGGCGACTTGCGTATCTCATACTTAGATCGGTTATATACCCGGTGGATCGATCATACCGGGGATCATGATGCCGAGATCTACTTCACAAAGGCGCACATTGCCAGGATGTTGGGTTCTTGGTTGCTGGCGGACAAGTCTGGAGGCAGCAATTTCGGTTTTCGGCTAGTCCCGTTGCTTGGGGGAGGATTTGATGAGATTGGCCGCTTCAGCTGGGGATCTACGGTTCTGTCACACCTGTTCAGGAATTTGTGTGAATTGACAGATGCCGGTCGATCTGACATGGGTGGTTGCCATATTCTCATTCAGATCTGGGCATGGATACGATTCTCACCCATTGCTCCGCCGCTTCCTCCTCATCCAGAGCCGGGCACGCATTATAGATGCCGGTATGCTTTGTTAAACATATAAAATAACGCTAATGATTTATCATATATACTATATGTATACTTCTTGATTATGATTGCTGATGTATGTTTCTGATGACAGGTTCAATACAGTAGCAAAGTTTAAACCTCATGAGGTAAACATTCATCATTACCATCTTGGGCTGTGGCCACCAACAATTTGCCTTTGTACTTCCCATATAAATGTGTTCCATCAATTTGTACGACGGGTTTGGCAAATTTGAACGCCTCACAACACTGTCTAAACGTCCAAAATATGCGATGAAACACCTTTTTTCCAGTCACTAAGGTCTGCTCTGCATAAAGGTCATTTGTTTGGACATGATAAAATGAACCTGGAGAAAAGCGAAGCATGTATTCGCACCACCTTGGCAAAAAAGCATACGATTCCTCCCAATCACTGTACATAACTTGTCACCCAGTTGCCACGGACCTTGTATTGAACCCGATCCTGAGACTGAACCATCAGTGCATGATTCTTGTTTGCTCCGATAACTCCAATCAATGTAGGAATAATGCGGAATTCCTTCCTAAAAAGGAATTACAGCTTCATCACCTGCAACTGCGGATTGTAACTTTTTAATACAAAAACCCTAATTCAGGTATTATATCAGGTGTAAAATTCAACTATATACAAGTTATTTTAATTACCTTCATGATGAATACCTAATGGGGTAGACGCAACGTCATGCAACTGCGGCATTTGCGCGACCACTGGTCCATGGAATATTGGGATTTGAGACGCACCCATCTCAGCACCTTCATCTCCTTCGGAAGCACTAGCATTCTCCGCAAGAAGACGTTCTTCCATTGCGATATTTTCATCATCATCGTCATCGTCTTCGTCGTGCATTTCCCAAGTCGGATCATTTTCATCTCCCTCAGAATAGTTACCAACTGGAGATGAACGAGCGGAAGACAAAGATGGAAGACGGGGAGAATTAAAATCAACTGACCTCACCGGTAACGGAACATTCTCGGTTGCGGCGATGTCGACATACAACTCCAGAAAATCTGTCCTTGACTGGTTGGAAAATTCTTCCATTGTCATCTCCAGGTCTTCATCGTCAACCACTTGAAAACTAATGTATTTATCACATTGCCATAACCTTGTCGTGATCTGAGTGATACATTGGTTGCCTTGAAGACTTAACTTCTGTCGAATTCTCTAATGCAGTTCGCCAATAGTTGCGTTGCGGTGGATACGTGTCAGCCTTTTTTCACCTTCAAACATGACACCTCGTCGACCTTCTACCTTCCTACCATAGTAATATAACACAACACGAACAGAATCAGGACGGGAACTCATTCTAAAATAGAATAAGAAATAAAATTCAAATACTAAAATAAAGAGAAGATATATGAAGAGTGAGAGAAGAGGTGTGAAGAGTGAATAGAGGGGTGGGAGATTATATAGGGTGCACAATGTGACGCCACTTTTGGGGCGTCACATGTGATGCCCAACAGTGGCGTCACATTGTGCAGTACATTTGTATTTATTCCCCAAACTGTCATAAATGCGTAATTATTTAATTAAATTGCAATATATAAATTTTTTTTGCCAATAGATCAATGTTAAACATGCACCTACTCCATGTGCGACTTAAACTTGTATTCTCCCAATGCACATTTGCTGCATTATTCTGATAATTCTTTTATCTTTGAATTTTTTTGGTCTTTTTTTAAAGGATAATTGATGTGCCTCTGGCAAGTGTGATTTTTTGTGTTAAAATTGATAAGAATTGAGTCATAAAAGAGCAATTTAAATATATATTTGCTAACTATATTGATTCTTTCTATGTCAATAATATTTCTCACCTATTGGTTGTGTTAATTGTCGATTGGTTTGAAATTGAGAACTAAAATAAAGACTTATTTTTGTAATTTTTATATTGAGAAAAAGAACAATACAATAAGAATTAATGTTTTGAAAATATGAGAAAAGAACATTGTAGCTAGAGCGCACTCACCTTATGATCCTCACTTCTTACTTTGGATTGATTTACAATATTCATTTATAAAACTACTCGGATAAATTATTATCTAAAATAATTAGTTAAATCCCAATCCCTTGGCAATTTAACCCTTTAATCCCCAATGGAATCCTAATCCCTTAGCAACCCCTCATGAAAATTAAGCGATGAACTCTATAATTTAGGCATCCGCAATTCAATACACATCTATACCTAGCATGCATACGAACCGTTATCCTACCCCCTTTCAGGATGAAAACCCCAACATCCCTATCTAGGGTTCTAACCCTCAGACTATTATCAACTATTAGAGTGATCAATTCTAATAAAGAAAATATAAAATACGAACAGGGTAGAGATAAAGATAATGATATAAACGAGCAATTATAAATCAATCCGCGTAACAAGGGTTTGTGACCCTAACTACAATAAAAATTACTAGCCAAGCATAATCATGGCTAAAAATAATCCAATATTCAAAAGCATAAAATTTAAGGAGAAATGAGAAGAAGAACTTGATCCCAGGAATCCTCTCGGAGCTCTGTCGTCGTCTCTGTTCAGAAGAATAGGTCTGAATGCCTAATTCTGTCACAAGGATCCTATTTATAAGTCTCTTTTTCTTCTTCCAAAAATACTCATCCGAAAACACAGAGTAAATTTCTCGCAACCCGGCGCCAGATGGCGCCGGTACGGCGCCACTTCGCGCGGAGTTACTGTCCAATTGTGAAAAGTCGGACTTACTTCTACGTGGACCGGCACCAGTTGGCGCCACCTCTTGTATTTTGGGCGCCACTTGGCATGGTTTGGCGCCAATTAGCATAGTTTGGCGCCACTTAGCATGGAATGACGCTACTTGGCATGGAATGGCGCTACTTGACTTCATTTGGCGCTGGTTGGCATGGTGGCGCTAGTTTGCGCCATTATGGCGCCAACTAGCGCCAATTCTCTGGACTTTGGCCTATGCGACATGATGCAACATGGAACTTTCCTGTGTGTGGAGTCGCGTCAACAAGTTTTTTATAATTTGTAATTTTCACTCCTCTTTTTCCTGTAAAAACACAACCAAAAGGTGAATATTATTGACATAGAAAGAATCAATAAAAATAGCAAATATGTATTTAAATTGCTCTCTTATTACCCAATTCTTATCAATTTTAATACTGAAAAACCACACTTGCCAGAGGCACATCATTTATATAGGAAAAAAGAGTGAAAATTACAAATTATAAAAATCCTGTAGACGCGACTCCACACAGATGTATCACAGTACAATGGACAGCAACATGGCGCAGACCGGCACCACACTGGCGCACATCCGCTCCAGTTTACGGAATTCACAGCTTTGCAAGTGGCGCCAATTAGCACCAATATGGCGCCAAATTAAAAGAAAGCAAAAATGTCACAGTAGCATGGCGCCGCTTGGCGCCAAAATGGAGCCAAGTGGCGCCAAAATGAAGTGTAGGTGGCGTCATTTTGTATCAAAAAAAAGCCAAGCCATGTTGCGCCAAAATGATGTTAAAGTGGCGCCAAAATTGTGTTAAAGTGGTGCCAATGTTAAAGAAGAATGGCGCCAACTAGCGCCAAGTTACATGAAAGCTATTCCGACTTTGCAATTTTGGGCAAAAGCGCGGCGCAAACTTGCGCGACACCGGCGCCAACTGGCGCCGGGTTGCGGGAAAACTTCTCCGTGTTATTTGAAGGGTATTTTTGGAAGAATAAAGGAGACTTATAAATAGGATTCTCAGGACAGAATTAGGTATGAAGACCTATTCTATTGAAGAGAGACGACAGTGGTGCTCGGAGAGGATTCTGCAGATCAAGTTCTTCTTCTTCTTCTCTTTTACTTTATGTTTTTATGGATATTGGATTTTTAGCCATGATTATGTTTGGCTAGTTTACTTTTTATTGTAGTTAGGGTCACAAACCCTATATGAACCCTTGGATTGGTTTATTTCTACTCGTTTATATAAAGTTCTTTATCTTTACCTTGTGCGAAATTTATATTCTCTTTATTAGAATTGATCAATCTGATAGTTGAGGATAGTTTGAGGGTTAGAACCCTAGATAGGAATATTAGGGTTTTCATCCTGAAAGGGGGTAGGATAACGGTTCGTATGCATGCTAGGAATAGATGTGTATTGAATTGCAGATGTTTGAATTATCGTGTTCATTGCTTAATTCTCATGAGGGGTTGCTAAGGGATTAGGATTCCAATTGAGATTAAAGGGTTAAATTTCCAAGGGATTGGAATTTAACTAATTAATTTTAGATGATAATTATCTGAGTATTTATATAAATGAATATTTTTAAATCAATCCAAAGTAATAAATGGGGATCATAAGGTGAGTGCGCTCTAGCTACAATGCTTTTCTCACATTTACAAAAATCAATTTTCAATTTATTGTTCTATTTCTCATAAACAAAATTACAAAAACAAGTCTTTATTATTAGTTCTCACTTTTACACAAATCGACAATATTTGTCAAAAACCATTTGAACTCATCCATTCTTGAAAGGAATATTAATTGATATTCGACCCAATCCCTGTGGAGACGATACTCTACTTACTTTCTATATTACTTGTACGATCGGTATACTTGCCGGAGAGCATCAAGTTTTTGGCGCCGTTGCCGGGGATTGGCGTTTCTTATATCAATTAATTTTGATTTTTAAGATTGGATTTTATTTTTATTTTTTTTATATTTGAACAGTGCTACTAATCTCTTTTCTGAGTTTTATGCGAGGTAAAGAGCCAAAATTTCCACTTGATTTGGAGATTACCAAGACTGAAAGAGATACAGAAAACTTGCTCGAAAGAAGCTTGCATTCGACGAGTCAGAAATTCTGTTTGAAGAAGCACACACCATGGCATGGAACAATGAAGAGGACAATTCACTCATGGATACTATCCTAACTCCATTATTCAACAGGCCCAATGCGAGCATTGTTCAGCCAAATGTTGCCAAGAATTGGGAGCTCAAGTCTTCTCATATTCAATTGGTGGAGAGAGCTCAGTTTGGAGGAGAGGAGA